TATATATATATATACATTCACTTACATATTCACCCTTATACAAATAACCTACTCTCCAGTCCCAATCCGAAACAGGTCAGCTGGAAAAAACTGATGACACTACTTTTTAGTGATTTCCTAAAACGTTAGGGGCTGACAGTCAGGTGGTTATTACGGGAGGGATTCAAATGAACTTAGCAGGTGTTATAATTTGTACCATTGGGGATTTAGGGATTCAGATGAGGCTTGAGGAAAGCTTCCTTACTTCTTCAGGGTACGTAAACACTTTTGGCAACCTAAAGAATATCTAGGCAACTTTGCTTCAAGTTATGGATAGCTTGCAAATCTTATGACACAGAGATACAGTGCCTGAGTTATATCAACACCAATAAGCCTTTGGAATGTCAAAGCATCGGTCAACTAGTCCAGCTCACTTCATCGCACAAGCCTCTGCCAATCCCGACATGTCTAGTGGGACCCATTAGACAGCTTTAACCCATACACCTGATTCGCATGAGAATTCCCAAGTAATCACACAATACGAAGAGTTAGGTTTGAATGCTTTTAGTTTTAATCCTGCTTGTTTGTCTGCTGCCAAGTGACATTTGAGGTTGTTTCTATTGTTATTCCCGCTGAGTCATTCCGAGCACTTTATCTAATGGATAAGAAAGTAACCAGAGATTACCCTTAATAAATGCTTAAGGACAAAAAAATTAAACGAACTGAAGTTCAGATGAACTTGAAAAATCCTTTCTATTACATAGTGCAGTGATCAACTACCAAAGTAAACATGCAGTCTTCAGATTACTTCAGCATGTACTCTGTGAATGTTGCGTAAAAGAAAGGTGATCATTGTCAACGTTACTGGTGGTCTATTCGGAAAACTCTGATGGGACATTACAGAGAGATGTAGATCTCAGTGAGCAATATTGGAAACGTAATACCTCCGTTACGCAACAAACAACTGGCAGTATCAGGATAGAACTTTTAAAAAGGTTGAATTACCTTTTCCATTTCTTAATTATGGCAATAAAGGGCATAGTCCCACACTCAGCTTTTTATATTTATTAACCATCCATCTGGTTATTTTCCAAAAAATTGATAAAGTTTTTGAAATGATGCAGGAGGAATTTATGAAACTCAAAAGTGACATGTTGTGAGGCATACAAAGCCTTTCACTTTATACCGAATGTTTGACAACTCTAGTGTTTTTCTACAAAACATCCTTGGATTTCTGTTGATCCATTTCATAAAAGTGTTGGAATATACCCATGCCCGGATAATTTTAACTGTTGGTTTCACAGAAGACATTTCTACATGCGCTTTTCAAACTGTCAGTTTCCTTCAAGAGATAGATACAAAAGATTTGACAGAGTATTAAACAGAGGATATCCTGTTGGGCCTAAATGGATATCTCGTGGACACCGTCACAAGTGGATCTGCAAATATGGTTTGTTTGTCCTGTCTAAGATGTATGTGATTTTGTTCACTACTATTTATTTTAGTTCCTAAAGCAAACTAACAGACTTCTTTATATACAGCATCTTTTCCGGGATTTAGGCTTAATATATTGACTGCAGTCGCAAAAAACTTATCGAACTCTCCTTACAGACTGGATATGCTGCTGCTTGAATTGCCGTGAAAGGCAGCTGATAACTCATGTGATATTCTCCTCTGTTGCCCCTTGGTTGACCGGCTTGAAGGGCCATGGCATTCGTGTGCGTCGGTCTTAAGAAAATGGCTAGACTGCTTCAAGCCTCTACTAAATGATACGGACCAATCACAATGGAGATCAAATGCTGGTTCATTTTAACATTGGGAACCCCTGGAGGGCTGATAAGGTGTCCTTCACGAGCCCACCATCACGAAGCAACCGAATCAATGGCAAACAATAAGTTCAGCATGTGAAGATCAGTGATGGTATATTGAAATTTCATGGCTTATTTTTTTGAGATGATTGGTGCTGACTGGCTCCTAGGGAGAATAAATGTCCCCAGCCAAACATCGGCACAGATATAAAAGAAGAGATGTTGAAAGGACCGTTTACGTCGGCCCGTAATTATGGCTGGAAGAACGTCAGTTTCTTCCAAGTGTCTTAATCTGGTCAGGTATTTTAGCCCTCAAGACTGAACACGTTTTTGGTCCGCAATATTTTGGTGCAAAGTTTGCGATGAACATCAGTCCGTGAAGCCTCTTGGGTAATGCTTTCAAAGGTAACCTATTTAGTCACAGACTGGCCATATGTAAGTAATGCAAGTTCAAAAACCGACACGTTTTAGTCACAATGTGATCAGAACTGAGGGAAAAACGGCAAACATTTTTGTAGGCGCTCTCTTTAAAACCCTCATTGTAAACCACAAGGACGCATACTAACCGGACCATTCTCATACGACTGAGGAACACCTAATTCCCTGGAGCATTTCAAACAATTTTCTACGTGCGTGTCTAACACGCTTAACAAATATGGAAGCATGTCTTGATGAACAATCAAACAAAGTATGTAAAGAACCCTTAGACTTTTATGGGCTTCTTTGCAAAAATAACGTCCCGCCTAATTCCCGGAGTATTTCAAACAATTTTCTACGTGTGTGTCTAACACGCTTAACAAATATGGAAGCATGTCTTGATGAACAATCAAACAAAGTATGTAAAGAACCCTTAGACTTTTATGGGCTTCTTTGCAAAAATAACGTCCCGAGGGGACGTAGAATAAAGATATAATCCACTGAATGTTAGGGAACTCATATGATAGGGGCCACTTCATCGCTGCGGATAACTTTTTAATGAATCACCACACCGCCCGTGTGCTACAAAAGCGTTCGAAAGTGTCCTGCCCGGTGATGTCAGTCTACTGAGGTGGGATGCATTTCTCTATGATGGGATCTACGTGCATATGTGCAGCGAGCAGTTTATAGTGAAATTATTAGTCTGAAAGTCCGGTACGTGCGCATGCCTAAACAGTACGCATCGTTATTTCCAAACCCATCAATCACACCTGATAATAGGGAGCAAACTGATATCTGTGGAATATACAATGTGCCCAGTGTGCGCCGTTTTGATCGCACGTCACCGGTAAAACCATAGATTTTCGTGGATCTTGCTTAACTGAATGAGAAGAGGATTCATGCGTGCCGCGTGCACGAAGAAAACTAAAGTGCGTCCACCTTTTTGAATTATGAAATCGAGATTCCTTTGCCGATTTGCGATAATTGTTAGATCGTGATGCAAAAAATTATAAAAAAACTTTACGTCTCCTTGATGGACGAGTTTTTTTCCGTTACCTCTATAATCATGCACCAACCGCTCAATAAATCAGCCCATCAGTTAATCAAACAATCGATCGGTTATTCAACTAATTCAACAACGAATCATTCGGTCGATAATTCAGTCAGCCTGTGTTTATGGAACGATTTCTTATCAAACTTGACTTCTGTTATTTCATACTATAGCTGAGTTTACCTTTTGTACATATTAAGTGGCATCACTAGCAAGCATTTGAATACTCTATCGAATCAAAACATTTACATCTGTTTTGAATCAGGATTTACAAAATGTAACAAAATATCGTCAGGCAACCTCAGTGAACCAAATTCCATACCTCCGTGAGCATGCTTTGCTGCATTCACTCCGACTTTTTATTTTGAAGAATTTGGCTTCGGGCCATTTTCATGACCGAATCCTATACATGATTTTTAGTTTGTGGTGAAAGTAGACCACATCATCATGCGATGGTGGTAGATCCATCGGGAGTCCTAATTGACCCGGAAAAGACATCAACGCTTTGATGCAGAAAAAAGAATAAGGCTTTGTGTGGATTAAACATTCTGATAGTGTAAGCAACGACCTGAACTTTATGCTCCAAGTCAGACACTCCACGGGCTCGCTAAAATATCCTGTCTGTGGCGCAATACTTAAATATCTCTACCGTGGCGTTTATGTAACCTGTGTCACCGTGTGAGAAAAAAACATCTGGATATATCAGCACGAAACAAACTGGCTCCTTCACCCATTTTACTCTTTGGTGCAAAAGATTTTTTTTCATTTCCTCTCCACAAACAATACTTGATCACACACTCAGGAAAGACGTCACAAAAGCAGTGTTCAACAAATTAACAAATTAGCGGTTAGAAGGATTGTAACTTCAGTAGTGAACAAAGTGAAAAACTTGTGATGAGACATGATTTGTTTAAGTACAGTATTAATTTCTACTCTGATTCCTTAAACAAGCGCAATACCCACGGTTACATGGATTCACACAGATACCGGAGAGTTTGTCCTTTCTGTTGTCAAGTTAGCATTAGATTCCTATCTGTGTATTTTAAACCTTTGTAATCCCAAGATTTATGCTCAACACACTCGATAGAGCCGCATGCTGGCTTGATAATGTACGCCTGCTGATAGAATAACCTACACTTGTTTGTATAAACATACTGCAGGAACGGTGCTCCACTGTCCAATACATAACTTCTGAGAGTTGAGGATTGAGGGAATTTTAATGCAACCGTTTTGGATATGGTGGTATAAGTATGTCGAAAACCTTACTTAAGACTATAACATCTTCAGTTGGGAAAGTAAACTGTGATTATCACTCTATATGTAACTAAAAAAAACCTGCTCATTTGCTAAGCAGGTAAAAAACTGAAACTAATGAGAGAGGAAAGAATTGAACTTCAGGTAATCAAGTTTGTATGGGCTACCGAATGAGGAAATGTGCTCTAACAACCTGAAAAAGGATGCACATTTCAGAAAGTTGGTACCATTGAGTTTGTTCTTAGACGCCTCATAAAGCACTAGACAGTTTTGTACCAACTCGGTCTTGGAACTTATTCAACCGTAATAATAAACTTTAAGAGGCAAGAGGGAAAACAATGTTTTGTCTGACCCACTTGATGGTGAAAGAATATGCAACGATTTGCTTTGAAGACAGTATGTTTTGATCAATTGTGACGAAAATAGGCTATTGCAAGCAAAGACTGTCCAACTCGACAGTAAGTCCACAGAGGAGATAGGTATTAAACGCACGCCGTAATTTAGCCAAATCCAAAAACAAGCGTTATGGCTGTCTCCCTCCCACACAAAATTATGTAGTAACGCTGTCTACACGGAATTCTGGCACGGATGAGGTATAAGTAGGTGATGAATGAGTGCGATGAAGAATATCTAATATTTAATAACTCGTACTGTTAAAGTGCCTTCCCATTATGTTTACCAAGCAGAAGAGACGTGAATAAATAGGCGCTGGCAGGTCATTTTTTGACCTGATAGGTAACGTAAAACTACAGATAATTGCATAAAAAGGCTGTATAACGGTCTTGAAAGTCATTTCTTAACGTCAACGAAGGAACTGTTGAACACTGACCGCAGAACGAAAATAGTTCCTGAATGTAGAGCACAGCCGTTCGATGGAGTTGGAGAGGGCTCATCTAAGGGGAAGATTTCGGCTTTCCACGTTACTTACATCTCAACTGATTAACTAATCTCATACATTGTTATTGGTTTTACAGTCTGGCCATTCATTTTATTATATTTACTGCACAAGAGGCCTGTGGATGGACAGAAAAGTCTACTTGAAAATTATTGTAAAAATGCAATGTACTATTTTCTTCCAGAAATGGGTAGCCTTCAATCCATTCAGATAAGTATTTTGAATGGACAGAATATAAGTGATGGTCAAACGTGCGTCAGAAATTTGTGTTGTAAATATTTGAAGAAACTTTGTTTGCCATTAAGGAGCTTGTTGCTGGGTTTACTCTTTAAGATTATAGACCGTGATAGAGGTCGACAGGAGTGAAATAATCATGCTATCGGAGAATTTTCACTAAACTTGTGAGTAGTATATTACGCCCAATCATGCTATCTTTTCCAACGAGGTATAATTCAATCTCTGTTGTTCAGTAGTCTCGTTCGATAAATAGAGCATTGTATTTGGGTAAACGAAGAAACGTAGCCTTTTGATTGCAGGCCACATACGCTATAAAGTTATATTATTGCAGGGTGCATACAATTATGCATACATTTAGTAGTATCCCTTGTCAATGCTTACTTCATTGTTACCTTCCACATGCCCAACTGATGGGCTGACTGGAAATTGACCAAGGTTTGTTATTGTTTTTGAGACACGCTCCAGAGGTAAGACAGCCGTTTTCGGTGGCTTATCTTGCGTTGAAGGTGTCATTTCACGCCTACGTTGCTCCTCTTGCAGCCTGCTGCTTGTGATGGGTGATGGGAATTCGTCGGAAGCCCTGGCGTTAGAATGATTGACCAGTCGACTGGTCGTATTGGGACTGGTTGTTGACGTCCGATGAAATCCATTTCTTTGAAATGATGTGTATGCATTGGTGGTATCGGTGAGGGATGCTGCTTTTGAGACCAGAGTGCCACCATTAAGGGACTTTCCGATATCCTGTTAGGTTAAAGAGGAATGATGACGATTTTAAACGGTCAGAAAAAACTTAGCGAAAACAGTTCAAATTCGACTATTGGTTATTTCACTTGGTTGAGTAACTTGTGGCCATTTGACGACATTAGCCCGCCAGGCACCTAAAATTGTCAAGCCCAGGAAAGTGTCTCCCATTTATTAAAGAATCCTGATCCACCGACACTCTCCTCATCCACAGTCGATGCTTTCGAAAAAACAGCAATGAGTATTAATACCCCGTATTCAAATTACAGTAAGTGTACACCACTAGGCAAACGCTTCTCCACAGGGTGGTTGATTGTGTGTTTAAAGCAAAGTGGAACTAATTTCTGGTTGTTTAGTTTGCGTAAGATATTCGCTGAACGTCTGCTGCGACACTTACTACCCGTAAATGTTTACGTTTTAGTTACAGTTCTTTGGACGGCGGATCCAACACGCTCCTCAATCGATCTATAAAACCCAGGTAAATGTTCAGTGCCTTTTGCATGCACAGTTGTCATAACGCTGCTGAATACAAAACCAATGTGGTATCAAGTGCGAAGCACCGCCGCTTGCAGTACCACGTGTAAAAGCCACGTTGCCTGTCAGGGCTTCAAATGTTGCATAAAATTACCTGTGAGGAGTTAGTGTGCTACTTATATTTTCATCACGACCGTGCATAATTTACTGAATCAGTGCTTTGAACATACAACCACGGAACATAAGATCCTGGAAAGGTCACATTCAAAGTGACAAAGTCCAGTTATCACACCCGAGTTCCACCGACTCAAACAGGCGTTGGAGCTAGCCGAGGTATCCCTTACTATAGTGGAAGGACTGGGATGAATATACTTCCTTATAACCTGCTAATTCTGATTTCTTCCCATGACGGACACACAAGATCATACGACGGTGCGAGTTATGAGGACCGGTACAAATCTCATAACCCGCAAACCAACAATCACCAGATCCACAGTAAGAGTAACAAAGTTGAAAACTGCCGTCCGAATCTGAACAAATACAAAGTCTAAATGTGTCTTATACTGACCAGTAAGGCAAAGTGTTGCAGATATCTTTCTATTTATGAATTAGACTCAACCGTCTCCACTATTTCACTTGGTTTTAACGTTTGGTTGCTAGTCCTTCCTACTCATCGCACTATATTATAGAGGTTTTTCATATTAAGCGTCTATAGTGGTAGTAGACTTATGTTGAACAGAAAACTTCAAGGTAGACTGTGAATAGTCAAGCAGGATATCTTATTATCTTGACTGAACCCCGTCACTCTCATCTGGGATTTTTCTCGAGACAAACCATGGTTCGTGGTAAACAAGGGAGTATAGGTTGCAGGTAAGGAAAACTTTGTTTGCTGTTCACGTTTCTTCTTAGTTCAAACAATTTTCTGGGGCATCACGGTTCAATTTTGACGACTTGGGTACGTTTTATAGACCATGTAAGAACGAATAAATTGAATAAAACCGCTAAGACGCGAAAAGAGATGGAACGGTTTCGTAACCATACATTGTATCTTCGTGAAACTCCCACTCTAATTCAGCCCTTGAAAACTGGACTAACTCAGTGGCTTAAAGACCAGAAAACTCAAATGTTGATAGGGCTGCTATCACGATGACACATTAATGATGTTCCATTTGTATATGACTATATCTGCACCACATAATGGTGTACTATGAGGTTCTTAAACAATGAAGCGGTGAAGAAGGATAAACTGTTTTAACGTGCACAATGGTAAATTGATGCCTTCTCTTTTGGGAATCTACCTATAAATTTCCACGGTCATTAGCCTGTTTTGAAGTGTCGTCTCTAGACTACCACAGTAGCATAATTATTAGGTCTGTTAAAGATAGCTTTGAAAACTCACTGCCGCCGAATTCGCCACCGCTTGCTTTCAACCTTGCTGTTAATGGTTGGTTCAGAATTTACCACAATGATTTCCCGAACTTTGCTTACAACGATGGAGCACTGCTGGGATGGATACGTTTGACATATAAATAAATAGCGCACACCAATACTGTGAGAATGTCAAAGCTTTATGGGCGCTCAAAACGACATTTCTTTGTCATTTTCTAGTTTGTTAGCCTTCACTTTCATGAGATTTGGAATCTCTCAAAGCATTGACAATGGGGATTGCTTATCACTCCTGATAAAAGGCGGTTCAGCCCCTTGGGAACATTACCATTTCAAGAC